TAGGACCTCCAGCACAATGTTGAATAAGAGTGGTGATAAAGGGCATCCTTGTCTGGTTCCCATTCTCAAGGGGAATGCTTTCAAAGTCTCTCCATTTAGGATGTTATTGGCTGTTGGCTTCATATAAACGTCCTTTATTGAGGAATTTCCCTTCTATTCCTATTTTGTTGAGTTTTGATCATGAATGGGTATTGGACTTTGTCAAATGCCTTTTCTGCATTGACTGATAAGATCCTGTGGTTCTTGTCTTTTGTTTGATTTATGCGATGGATTATACTGATTTTTTTCCTAATGTTGAACCATCCCTGCATAGCTGGTATAAATCCCACTTGGTCATGGTGAATTATTTTTTTGATATGTTGCTGAATTCTATTGGCTACAATTTTGTTGAGGATTTTTGCATCAATGTTCATGAGGGATACTGGTCTGTAATTTTCTTTTTTTGTGGTGTCTTTACCTGGTTTTGGTATCAGGGTTATGCTGGCTTCACAGAATGAGTTTAGGAGTATTCCATCGTTCTCTATGTAGTGGTGTTAACTCTTCTCTCAAAGTTTCATAGAATTCTCCAGTGACACCATCCAGGCCGGACTTTTTAGTTCTCCATCTCACCTCAGGCCCCTGATGTGGGTAGGTGAATAGCCCGCTTAATGGGTAGAGCAGTGTCAAATATCACAAACCTGCCACTTCACAGCTAAAACCGTTCAAGTTACACTTCAGCTATATACCTTGTTGTACTGCAGTAATGAGGGCCTACGTTGTTGAGATGGGCCCACACAAATCTCTGCAGGGGGAAAGGCACTCAAGGTCCAGGGATCCCTTACACCTGTGCCTAGGCAAAGGACCTGTGCCTACCCTGGGTTTCTGGCTTAGAGGAGCCAGCAGTTTATTTTTTCCCGTTTGTTAAATTTGTTCACTCTCCAAGGCAGGGAGAATGGCTCAGGGCATGTGACGGATCCTACTTCCGGCCCAGGGGACTTGGCGATTGCTGACACTGGTCCGAGACCCAGTGTAGAGCAGGGAGTGGGGAGGTAAATGGGAGAGAAGTTTCTCCCTAAGGGGGCTGTTTTTGATCCGCACAGTAGGGTATGCAAGAACTTAGCTTTCAATGATCTTGGGCTGCTTCTCACTGGTTCTGGGTGGCCGAGTAGATTCTCTGCAGCTGGGTCTCTTCCGGTGCAGAATACGCCTCCTGAGCACCGCTGCTCGCCTGCCTCACCACTCACCCATGAGCTGATCAGGCCTGAAGGGCTCAGGCTCTTGCCAGGTCAGGCGACCTGGCAACCCCTCGCTGCTTCCGAACTGTCTCTCCCTCCCCCTGCCACTCAGTCCGGTTCCTTAATTTTGCCTTGGATGTTCAGGGCTCTTAGATTGTCATATATAATTGATTCACTTGTGTTTTGGGTCTTTGCTGTAAGCGGGTCCACTGGAAGCATCTGACTACTCTGCCATCTTGGCTTCGCCTCTCTGTTTTCTTTTTTTTAACCATCCTAGTGGGAGTGAAGTGGTTTATCTCACTGTGGTTTCAAATTGCACTTTCCTAATGGCTAATGAGGAGCCCTGATGGCACAGCGGTTAAGAGCTTGGCTGTTAACCAAAAGGTCAGCAGTTCAAATCCACTAGCCACTCCTTGGAAACCCTATGGGGCAGTTCTACTCTGTCCTACAGGGTCGCTATGAGTTAGAATTGACTCGACGGCACACAACAACAACGGCTAATGATTTTGAGCATCTTTTCATGTGCTTATTGGTCATTTGTATATTTTCTTTGGTGAAATGAGTATTCAAGTCTTGGCCCATTTTTTGATTGGGTTGTTTGTCTTTTTGTCTTTTTGTTAAGTTGCAGGAGTTCTTTATATATTCTGGATATTAAATCTTTATTCGATATATGATTCCTGATAATCTTCTCCCCATCTGTAGGTTGTCTCCTCACTTTGTTGTTAAAGTCCTTTGTTGAAGAAAAGTTTTTAATTTTGATGAAGTCCAATTTATCTATTTTTTTTTTGGTGTCATATCTGAGAATCTGTTGTTAAAAAATGGGTCCCAAAACACCCTCTGTTAGTAAAACAAAGCAATCTTCACGCAAAATGGGGCAGAGGTTTTTATCTGACCTTAGTTTAACAAAGATAAGTGGATAATCATTCTGAGTGGTGTAAATAAAATTTACTGAATTGGAGTTGGGTAAACTAAGTACAAGTGAGTAATTTGGTCTTTTTCAAGAGTAGAATGAGAAATCACCCATTTTACCATCTCCTGTGAAGTAATCTTCAGATACTGATACTGTTTTTCCCCCCCACTCCCCCCTGCCTTAGGGGAAAATTCTTCTTTATTTTTTTACTGCGATGAAATATATTTAACAAAAACATTTACCATTTTACATGTACAATTCAGTGACATTAATTGCATTCACCATGATGTATAATGAATACCACTATCAGTCTCAAAATTTTTTCATCACCCTTAAGGGAAACTCGGTGCCCCTTAAGCAATACCTTCCCATTCCCTCCCTCCCCACCCGCCCCTGGTAACCACTAGTACTCTGGTCTCCATGCATTTGCCTATTCTAGATATTTCATATAAACGGGATCATACACTATTTGTCCTTTTGTGTCTGGCTTATTGCACTCAGCAAAATGTTTTCAAGGTTCATGCATGTTGTGGCATGTATCAGGACTTCATTTCTCTTTATGGCTGAGTCATATTCCATTGTATAGATGTACTACATTCTGTTTATTCATCTGCTGATGGACACTTCAGTTGTTTTCACCTTTTGGCTACTGTGAATAGTGCTGTGCAATGAACACTGGTGTACAAGTAACGAACACTGCTGAATCATATGGTAATTCTATGCTTAATTATTTACTTTTGAGGAACCACCTAACTGTTTTCCACAGTGGCTGCACCATTTTTAACTCATCATCCTCGAAGAATAGTCTGAATATCATTTTCTGAAAAACGCTCATGTGAGATTGATGAAATGGGACATAATGATGGAGCCAAGGTTCAGTTAAAGATAAGCCTCAACAGGAAGGCCAGTTTACTTACATGAGCACCACTGCCTTTCCAGGACTCTAAGAATGTACAAATATTCTTTCTTGTGAATAACATGGATCCAAAAAAAGAAAATAGGCTGCTGTCAAGTTGATTTCGAGTCATGGCAACTCCACGAGCGTCACAGTAGAACTGTGCTCCATAAGGTTTTCAATAGCTGTGACCTTTTTGAAACAAGAGTGCCTTTCTTCCGAGGCACCTCTGGGTAGACTCAACTGACAACCTTTCAGTTAGTAGCGGAGCACTTAACTGCTTGTGCCACCCAAGGACTCCATTACATGGACAGCTATCAATAAAGCCATACATTTAAACAGACTGCATTGCTTAAAACTGAATTACAAGAGTGCAGACAGCACTACACCACAGATTATGGGATTCTGCTCAGAAAAACCAACTAACTGAAGAGGAATTGTCATAAACAGATTAAAATTTTCCTTCATTGTTTATTAAATATTATCTTAAAAGTATAAAAAAAAAGTAGCTAATTCCAAGAAATAAATATAGTAGAAGCATATTCCATAGTATTTTCCTATCTTTTATTCTTATTAATAATTTATAATGAGAATAGTTGAAGCCATTTGATATCACCTAAATTCATTTTATAGGAAGCAGTGTGACTTTTAACATACCAGCCCGTCATAAGAATATTATCATTCAAAAATATAATTTCCTAAGAAAAGCTATGAACTGACATAAAACTCTGAAAAAGATATTTTTAATTGGCTGGTGACCTGATGTCTCCTATAAAAATTCAACAAAACTTGCCGATGGTGACAACACAGCTGTCATTTTGAACTGCTCTTAGTGTCATCTGAAACTAATCAAAGCACACCATTTCCACGTGAGAGAAAATGCATAAAACCAGCACCAGGAGCCTTCTCCATGCACCACATGGAGTTCTCCATCTCACCTCTGGATGATGAATTCCTTAGCGCAGTCAAAAAGGTGCCCGTGCACTATCCACTCGTCCACAGTCTGCAGGTAGGGCCGCACAGTTTCTACCCAGAGGGAGAACAGAAGGGAGACCTGCAGACAAGAGTGTGGACACTTAACTTTTGGGAGCTTCCCTATCACTAGATAAAACGATGCTTAAACATTTCTGAAACGCCTTTTAAAAGTGACCTAATTTCTGTTTTTTTGAAACAAAATAAGAAACTAATGGCTCAACAACAAATGTATACTAAAAAATTCTATTTAAAAACTCACCTGAATCTGGGATGACCATATTGCTTATAGTCCATACCAGGACCTTCTTAAGAGTGAAAATTACACAGGGACAACAGGCATAAACCGTAATAGCCCAGGGAAATGGGGATATTGTTCCTGTCTGAATAGTACCATCAACAAACTGTCTATTAGGAATGGAAAATGATTTCATTCTGCTCTAGTTTCCAGCAGGAATAAAATTGTAACAACTTCCTTTATTTTAAACTGCAGTACCAAACTGGTTTAACAAAAAGTTACGCCAACAAACTTGCAAAAACACCTAAAAAATGTTCTCAAACCTGCAGTTTTTCAGGTTACAGTCTCTAGTTAAATTTGTATTTTTAAGAAAGGGTTATTATAAATTTTGATGTAAGTCATGTATGTATTTTTCATGTCTTGCTTTTCATGTTTTGCTTTGTCCTTGCCTCATCCTTCTGGTGATCTTGGCAATGAGAGCTGAAAAACCAATTTCATACAGCCTTCTGTTTGGCAGGCTGCTCACAAAGAGTTCCTGTGTAGATTAACTCCAACACAGAAGCTAATTTTAAAGCTCTGAATAATGGTCTGATACAATGATTTAAGTATCATTGGTACCAAGAAGTATGACAGGCTACCCATCACTCCTTTGACTATGCAAAATGGAGTAACACATTTTAGACTAGACAGGGGTCCCACATACAGTTTGCTCAGAGGCTTCTCCAACACTGTCATATTCAAGAATGGCCTTGTACAGTGTGTTGAGTAGGTGAGATGCTCGAACAACATTTCGCGTGTCAGGTGGGACTTCAGCAACTCCAGTGCTAAACACTCTGTGCAAAACCTTGAGCTGAGCCAGTCGAGGTGATAACTTGTCCACCACTATAGAGAGAGTTACTGTAGTATCTGCAAATATTAATAAATCAAACTCAATAGCAAGGAAAAACATCTGCATTCAAAATTTGATATAAATGCTAAACCACTTATGTAAATATGTATAACAAACTAGAGGGTGGTAGGTTTTAATCTCATATCACAAGGATCTAATTTCCCTAATGAAGAAAGAAATCCTGAAAGTCAAGGAGAAACAGACAAATAACTTAGCAGAAAAATAAGGTACAAAGAAACTGACAGTTCACAATAAAGGAAATACAAATGATTCTTAAACATATAAAAACACAAACATAATATAATAATGCAAATTAAAACTACATTAGGTAAAACAAACAAACTACACTGGGCTACCATTCTAGTTTGGGAAGGTGGAGGAGGATATGACTACAACGAGGTAGCAGGAACAAGGCCTTCGTGGTGATGGCACATTTCCGTATCTTGAATACAGAGGTGGTCATACGAATCTATATGTGTGATTAAATCTCACAGAACTACAGACAAAGACAACTGCTTCCCCTCCAAAAAAAAAAAAACCCAAAATGAATGCCCATATAAACTGCTGAAATCTAAGTGAGGTCTACTGTCTAGCTGATGTTTTCAGCCAATGTCAATTTCCTAGTTCTGACAAAACTTAACCTGTTGCTGTTGAGTCGATTCTGAATCATAGTGACCCTACAGGACAGAGTAGAACCGCCCTATAGGGTTTCCAAGGCTTTGTGGAAGCAGACTGCCACATCTTTATCCCACGGAGAGGCTGGTGGGTTCGAACAGCTGACCGTTCTGTGAGCTTAACCACTGAACCACCAGAGTTCCTTCTAGTTTCGACATGCATTACAATTACATGGCACCGTTGGTGAGCTGAATGATGGGAACATGGGCTCGCTCTGTATGATTTTTGCAGTACTTGAAAATAAAAGTTAAAAAGAAAAAGTACACTGGGAGAAGACCAAAAAGTTTGATAACATACTGGTGGCGAGAGCGTGAGAAAACAGGTATTCATATACAATGCGGGCAATAGTGTAAATTTAAAGACGTACCCTCACGGACAGCAATGTGGTGATAGCTACTGAAATCATAAATGCACATATCCTTTGACCCAGCAATTTCATTTTTTAGAATTTATCCTAAAGGTAACCTGCTTGCATATGTGTACAACTACTTAGATATAAGTGGTTATGACTGCAGCACTGTTGGCAATAGCAATCCGCAAGTCCATTTCAAGAAGGGAATACATTTATAGGATGAAATACTAAACTTGTAAAAAAGAATGAGGAGGTTAACTATATATTTGTATGGTATAATCCAGAAAGCAATTTGAAGACAGTAGTATAATAGACTACGAGGTATGTGTGTATGTATATGCATTTGCTGGAAGGATGCACAAGAAACTGGTTACCTTTAGGGAGGGGAACTGAGTGGCTGAGGAATTGGAGCAGGAAAAATAATCTTCACTATAAATTCTTTTGTGCTTTTTGGATTTTTAGAGATATAAATAGTTTAAAAAATAAATTTAAAATAGTAATAAATAACGCATGTATTCATGAGAATTACTTATTTGCCGCGTAACTTTTATATCTTGCATCAATTAATAACCTAAATGGCATGAGAGTTGTACGTCTTATAAGTAAAAGTGAAGAACATTTAAATACCATTATTGATGATATACTTCTCAATTTCCGTAAGTTCCTCTTTGAAACCAATGAAGTATTTGTACAGGGCCCACATGAAAGCCTGGTAGGTCCTAAAGGGAGCTTCGGTGGACTTCTTAGGAACGGAACTATTTCCAGGTAATACACCATCAGAACTGTGCCCCCTGACTTCATCGATGAACTCCTGGAGTCGAAACACAACCTGGCCATATGCTGCTATTTGTTCTAGCACTGATCGTAAACAGTTCTATAACAGAAGCAAATCACAATTATTTAAAGTCAATCCTCTGTAAGTAGTCAAATTTACTTTCCTTTCACTTTGAAATATTTCCCCATGACTGTTTTAAGCCACGTGCTTAGCAAAAAATGAATTAGTAAAAAGATTAAAATTTAATTTTACATTCAAAGGAAATAGAGAAGGCATTACTTTCTACAGAATGTAGAACTGGAGTTTATACTTTCTTCTAAACACACATAAGATAAATGTACTATAATCAAAGAAAATTAGAGTGTACAATTTTCTGATGATTTCAGTATCTTAAACTTATTAGCCTTTCCCAATACAGAATGACAGAAATAAAAAGCAGAAAAAATGCAAATCAAAAGTGAGTATAAACTTCAATACAAAATTAAAGAATTCTCTAAACACAATATAGGTCTACAACTTAATTCTACTTTTTAGATTTTCAATATATTTAATAGTTAATATTAATATCGTAAAATGATCTGAAGTTATATTACCATGGTTTACGCATATGAAGGGGAAACAGGCTTTCAGAGGCTGAACATGAGTGCCTTCACCGTGGTCCGCTAGTTCACTACAGTTTGCTAAGTCATCCTCACGTACGCCCCTGGCTTGCAATGCCATTGTCCACCAGCACTCTAAAGCCTCTGCCCTCCCACTGCAGGGTGCAGAGACCTGCTTTGGTCCTGTGGCCACCCAGGACTCGCCTCGTCTGTAACTCTCCCTAACAAACTCCTTTGCTGCCACCCTGGAGTTGTCCACCTCTTTCTTCAGTCTCTTGGCACCCTCTATTTTTACAGGCAAATTTCATGTTACTGGTCCATACTTACAGGGTCCATGCCTACAGGGTTGCTAATGAGTCCTAACTGACTCAAGGGCAATGGGTTGTTGGGTTGTTTGGTCCATGCCTGGACAACTGGCGAGCCATCCAGGAGGCCGAGGAAATGGAGAGTGGGAGTGAGGCCTCTGTCGGGGAAATCCCAGGTTGGCCAGTGATCTCCATGTGGGGAGGTCTGGTCCATATGCTTTTCTGCATGTGGACTGCTGACTGAGTAAGGGGATGCCCCCAAAACTCCAAGTGGCACAGCCCGATTATGGGCAGATGCACGCCTTCATAAGTGTGGAAAAGAAGCTAGGAAAGCAGTAGCAGTCGTGAAATGGCCACTGCTCTGGGCTGTTTGGATGGCCACAGAAGCCCAGCTAGCTGCTAAAGTGTGTGTAAGAGCTTCGCAGGAAGAGTTACAGCTAAAAAAGATGTGTCGCAGTTGCGCGTGGCCACAACTGATGTATTGAGAGCCACGTCCACGAACAGGATGAGCAACTAGAAACACTCATCTGCAGGTTTGTAAAGATAGGAGAACAATCCCCTAGCCATTGCTCAAAGCCCTACAACAATGGGACTGGAGATAGCTGGACGGGCTAAACAGGTCCCTGGAGCTGAGAATGCTCTGTAACACCAAGTGCAAAGCAAAAGTTAAAACGGGGAAAAAGCCCTTCAAAATAGCTTGTGTTGAGTAGCCCGCAAGAGATCTCAGAGGCCCTGGAGTTCACTGATAACTGCTCTGCCAAGATAACTGAGCAGCAACATAGCCGCAGCTGCAACAGTAAGGGGAAAACTAAAATAGGAGGGGCCACTTCCAGGTGACCAGGCAACTGGGCTGAACCCGTGCTTGCGCCTGGTATGGTGGAGACGTGGCTCCGCAAACGACTGAGGGCTCGGCCAACTTTGCCCAGATCTTCTGACCTTCAGAAATAATTAAGACTGAAAATTAAGCCTAGGTCCCTCTGTCACTAGGGAGGACCAAAGGCCTTATTTTACAATTAAAGTTCAATGAGGAAATGAAAAAACATTGTGTATGTCTTGGGTTTTAACACCTGGCACCAAAATGAAAAAAACTTTTGGGTCTAAGGTCACCAACTTTCAGACCCTTGCCCAAGCCGATTATGGATAAGTCCCCTTACGGCCCCTACAAACCGTTATTACGTGTGTTGACAATGCTGATGTTAATGTACACCTGTGTAAACTTTTGCCTTCAAGCCCTGACAGGAATTACTGCCATCAGGGCCATTTTTAGCAGGGCATACAGAAACTGCGACATACGTTATAGTTAATAACCTGGCCATTCAATCCAGCCACCGACAATACTCGTACTGACATATAAGACAAGCCCTTACGGGTATATCTGTACCCAAAATAAATAAATAAATAAATAATAACAAATAAATTCAGTTCCTGATAAGCTTTTGTTACTTCTGTGGATGGTCACCAGAAAGTCCCCTATGCAGACCGCTCTTGCCAACTGACTGCAGCGGCTAAAGCATCCTCTGCTCCAGAGCAAACAGATGTGCAACCGACCACCTCCTGGATTTCAGATAGGACAACCCATGTGGATTCATACACCGTTCTAGACTGGGCCTACATGCGTGGACCTCCTCTATCATCAGAAAATGCCAGAAAGCACAGAAAAGCTGATCTGCCTACGAGACCCTGGCCAAGGCTAAAACCTACCCAAGAACAGACTCCTGAGCCAACAAGCCAGGGCATCCTCAGCAGGTAAATCATATCAGGGCCTCTTATCGCATACAGAGGCTTCCACTGGATCTTAAATGAACCCTTTATGCTCTGTATCACCCCCAAACCATAGGGGCAATTGGGCACTTCAATGGACAGGCTTGAACAGCTGATGGGAGGGGACAAGACAAGGTCAGCCTGAACTATACATCTCAGGCAAGCAGTCTGGGGTCTCAGTGCAGCAGTTCCCTGCAAGGGCATTTCTCATTTGCACCATATGTTTGATCAAACTGTCTATTCTATAAAATGTGTTTCTTTTGTATACAACTGTTCCTGACAAAAGATCTGGGTTCCCAGAGAGGTCACTGCCTCAAGACTAAGACAGACAGCCTGGGTGGCTATAGCTCGGCAACCCTCACCTCAAGTCCCATGGGAGATAGGGGAGGGGAGGAGGGAATTGTTAATGTTGTCTCTTTTTCTTCTCAGATTATCTCACAAGGATGGAAAGGCCCCTCATCCATGGGCCCCAGTGATACAGGCTTTTGCTAGAGCTACTAATCAGGTCAATAGTTGGCTCTGTCAACACCTGAATTGAGATGATGAGTCATCTCCCCACATTGTTCCAGGTGATCTGTCAACAAGGAGGACACCTCGTGGACCAACTGAATGTGTCACCTGGTGCACTGAGGAGATCATGTGGTAAATGAATACGGTCAACTCCACTACTTGTGGAAAACATCTTTTGAAGTATGAAAGCTATTTGTGGGGAGTGCTCCAACTTTAAAAAGAAATTTCTCTGTGTGTTAAAAATGTAAGTGGCACGTGACTGGATGGTTTGACTACGAAAACAGTACTTTTAAGCCTGAGTTTGATGTTACTCTTGACACGGAAAACCTGCAGGATATGACCAGGTGCTCCAATGTATATTGACTGACTAAATCAACTCTGAATTAGCCTGGTCTGGCAATGGTAATACCTCGTTCAACTGTGCTGAGAAAGGGAGCTTTTGTATTACTTGTACTGAAATGTGTACTGTTTATATAATGTGCCATGCTGGGAGAAATATGCTGTTTTTACATAAATAAATCAGGATATGTTACATATGTATAAGATTGAACAAATGCAGCCCTTTCATCTATTCAGTTGGCTTAGACTAAACTACAACTGAGGTGGCTGGTTGGGATCTATCTTCCAAGCAGGCCTGATCAATCTGCTGGGACAGTCCTACTAGTAACCCTCATTAAATGCTGCCTCAAATGATGTACAGATATAACATCCACCAGAGTTATGCATCAAACCACAGACATGCAGTTCGACGTCCAAAATGGGTAATGGGCATACCAGGACTTGGTACTGCTTGGCTTCTTTTTCTGGCACCCTGATGGGAGTCAGGGAATAGAATGTTGGGGGAATGGTCTGCCTCACTTCCCATCCAGGCTGCCTAAGTAAAGGTCTTGGGCCCAGAACATTCTCTGATAAGGAGGCTGGGAATTGGGTCACCTTCTCTCTCTCAGTTCCTTCTCGTTGTCAGAGAAGCCCTTCTGTTCTGGGGACACAGTAATTTTCTCTGTCTCTTGCACATGCGTGGGCACCATATGGCACTTGGCCAACCTCACTTCTGTATCTGTTACCAGTGGGGAGGGAACGGGGTCTCTCGTACTACAGCACAAGAGGGAGACTGTGCCAGATTTTAAGAGCCAGCCTTGAGGGGTGGACTGAAGGGGAAATAGGTTTTGCAAGGCCAAACATGAGTGCCTTGCAGTTCACTACAGTTTGCTAAGTCATCGTCACGTAAGCCACTGGCTTGTAGCCACCATCGCCCACCACCACTATAAAACCTTTGCCCTCCCACTGCGGGGTGCAGAGATCTGCTTTGGTCCTATGGCTGCCCAGGACTTGCCTCATCTGAAAGTGTCCCTAATAAAGTCCTTTGCTGTCACCCTGAAGTAGGCCACCTCTTTCTTTGGTCTCTTGGCACCCTCCATTTTTAGAGGCAAATTTCATGTTACTGGGCCATGCCTGAACAACATATCTTATTTAATTCTCTAATTATAATAAATACAAATAACTTACATGTGTCAAATGAGTTACTACAATATTGTTTCTCACAGTTATCTTCCCATCTATCAACTGAAATATAAACAGCTTTTTTACCCCTGAAAGTAACCTGAAATGACATAAAAAAGATAAATGTACTTTTAAGTCTAGAAAAATAGTCACTACAGTAATGTCTAAGAAATTATAACGAAGGATTCAGAATTTGGGGGCAAAAAAGAAAATACAACTTCCAAAGGTCAGATAATAAGAAAATGGAAGACATCAATCTTTGTATTTCCTTAAGACTCAAGATCTTTCAATATCATCTTGGAGAGGCATCCAAAAGAATGTTCTCAAAGCACTTCCACCTGCAAACTTGATCCAAACAGATGTTCCAATTTTAAAGAACATCAATATTATGCTTTATGGCAGAAAGCAACAAAACCTAGAAATTTCAATAGCAACAGCACCACATGTTGCATTTTTCATTTTCATTTTCGTGTGAATACAATCTAAATTCTTGGAGCGGTTCTATTAGTTCCTGGTTTCCAGGTATGGGACAATACTCTATTAAAAGCAATAAGCAGCAATCTAGGGACTTGCTTTAAACTCAGATATTTAACAGGTGGTTTAAACTAATTAAATCATATACTAAATTGTTTAAAATGGAAAAGAAGTGAATGTATCAAAATCTCACAATCTCCATGGTCAAATCTGAAGTCTGGGCTTCCTGATTCTGCTAACCAACCCAGGTTTACATGCCTGCTGGAAACTGTTCTGGGTTCATACCTAACAGCCTGGTTCTAGTTTGCATGTGAAAGTCCCTGAACACTTCTCTTTTAAAAAAACAACATTTTTGTATCTCATAAATAAAGACTTCTAGACTATTAAGTAGGTTAAGAGGTCTTACCATAGGGTTTCCCGGATAACCTGAGTTTCAGTAACAAAAACTCTGTCATCTGGAACATATAAGGAATCACTGCTATACAGGTGTTGATCCCTATTAGAGAATAAATATCAAATGCCAACATAAAGATATCTAATTAAGTAAAAATACACATCTCAAAGATTATATGCAATTTAATGGTATCTTAATCAACTAAACAAATACTTTAGGCATCCTCCCATATTCACTTTCAAGAGTCAACTGAAATAATCTCAGACAAGCCCTTTCAGAACAATTTCAATTGCTATGTTTATTGCTGACTTAGGCAAATGTTTTAAAATCAAGCATTGTTGTTTTTTGGAAGACAGTAACTGTATTTTTGTAATAAGGGCAATAAAACAAACCAAATATGACCCAATATACACCAATCAATTCATTTTGAAAATAACAACAAAAATCAAAACACAGATTATAATTCTATAATAACTTCATTATTTTTAATAACAATTAATAACTAAAAACTATATTTAAGTAGAATTGCTAAAAAAAAAAGAAAGAAAAGAAAAAAATCTGACCAGTTTAACTTACAGGGAAGTACTCAGTGATTTAAATCATACATCAAAGTTTCTTCTACCATTATATTAAATGAAAAATTTAGCTTCTTACCAGACAACAGCTAAATTGGAGTGTAAATGTAAGCTATGAGGAAACCACAAGGACCTGGCTGTCCAGTACTGAAGGACCACATGCTCCTCCAGCCAGCTCCGGCCATCTGTCTCATCTACAGGAATAAAATTTAATAAAAAGTTTAAGTTTATAACAGTTAATAAAAAACTCTTGGTCAACTTTGCCACTATATCCAGACTGCAGTTCCTTTCAAATATATAATTGAAAATGATTTGTTAAAATAACAGCTACCCAATAACATTTATATATTCATTTATTTAAAACCATTGAGATATTGAGATACACATACAATGTTTAATTAAATGCCATTGGGTAGAAAGTAGAAAAATATTGTTCAATTTTAAAATAACTCCATCAATGAAAAGATACAAACAGGATATTTGAATAGTCCAATAACCATTAAAGAAACTGAAATGGTAATCAAAGACATTCCTCAACCACCCCTAAGCTTCAAGACTGGTATTAAACTTTTAAGGATTAGATAATCTATATTTTACACAGGTTGTTTCAGAAAATAGAAAAAGGGAAAGTTGCCTAACTGTCTATGAGGCTCATATAACGTTGATATTAAAACCAGATAAAGACATGATAAAAAAGTAATTCACTGAAGTATAAAGATGAAAAATCCTAAATTAAAAAATAGCCAACCCAACCCAATTTAATAATGCAAAAAAAAAAAAAAAAACCCACAGTATGTTAATGGGGGGTAAACAACTTAGAACAGGAGGACAAGAATGGTTGCACAACTCAAAGAATGTAATCAATGTCACTGAACTGTACGTGGAGAAACTGTTGAATTGGTATATGTTTTGCTGTGTATATCCTTAACAACAACAAAAAATAAAACAGATTATAAAAAAAAATAACTCAATGATCAAGTAGGTTTATCTATGGAATTCAAGGACGATTCAGTATCAGAAAATCTATCAGTGTAGTAATAAAACCAAAACCACTGCCTTTGAGTCAATTCCAACTCATAGTGACTCTGTACGACAGAGTAGAACTGCCCCATAGGGCTTCCAAGGCTGGAAATCTTTACAGGAGCAGACTGCCACACCTTTCTCCCGTGGAGCGACTGGTGGGTTTGAACCGCTGACCTTTCGGTTACCAGCTGAGCGCTTAACTATTACTGTGCCACCGGGACTCTTCAGTGTAGTAATAGAGTAAAAGAAAAAAATAAAAGGATTATCTCATAAATACAGAATAGTATTTTATAAATTCAACATTTATTTTATGATTAAGCATTCCAAGAAAAACAGGAATAGAAGAAAATTGTCTTAATTTGGCAAGGCCACATACCCAAAACCTATTCCAAAAAAACCCACTTCAGGTGCAATCCCTTTCAGGAATTTCATGTCAACCCCCTTAGGATGAGACCAAGTCCAGGATGTCCACTCTTACTGCCACTGCTTACTACACAGACCAGACTTAACAGATCAGAAAGAAGACATGACTATCATGTTATGAAGAGGATATAAGAAGAGGTAGGAAGAGATAAAACACTCAATATCTGCAGATAATATTGCTCATTTATATAAAAAAACCCAATAGAATCAACAAAGTATTATAATTAATACAAGAGTTCAGCAAGGATGCTGGACAGAAGACAGACTTACAAAAACCAATAGTGTTCCCCTACACCAGCAATAAACAAAACAAAAAAAAAACAGTCACAAGAAAAACTGAAACATAAGTAGAAAATAATTATCAAATGAATACTTAAGATCTTTATAAATTTCCAAAATCTAATAAAAGACATAAAAAATAAGAGTAAATAGAAAAGGAAAAGACATCAATTCTCCCCGAGTTATATCTACAAATTCCAGGTGAATTTTTAAAAAGAAATTTATCATACTGTTTCTAAAATGTGTATGGATTGTTGCTGTTGTTCTCAGGTGCCATCGAGTCGATTTTCAACTCACAGCGACTCCATGTGACCGAGGAGAACTGCCCCATAGGCTGTAACCTTTCCAGAAGCAGAGTGCCAGGTCTTTCTCCTACAGAACTGCTGGGTGAGTTGGAACAGTCAACCTTTCAGTTAACAGCCAAGCGCTTAACCATTGCGCCACCAGGGCTCCTTGTATATGGATTAAAGGTTCACAAACAGTTAATTTCGAAAAAGAGCAAAGAGGTGGGGGAAGACTTGCCTTCTATGTATTAACGCACATTACAAAGCGACAAAGCATGCAACAGTCTGTTCCTGGGTTAGGTTCATACTAAGGGAACAGAACACAAAGTTTAGAAAGAAATACACGTACATATGGGAACCTGATATATGATAAAGGTAGAATCACAAAGTAATGTGAAAGCAAATAGAATGTTTTCTAGATGTTTTTGGGAAAAGTGACTCATGACATGGGAAAAAAACAAGTTGGACCTTTTAAGTTCACTTCATATACAAAAGTAGACCTAAAAACCTAAACGTAAAATATAAAAAAGCAAATAGAAGAAAAATGGAGGGGAATATCTTTGTATGGAAAAACTTCAAGACCCAAATACTAACCATATCATGAAAATACATGGGTTTGATCACAAAAAAGTATAATAAAATCAGTATCTGTCTGAAGGATACCATGAAAAATGTTAACAGTCAGGTGATTGACTAGGAGAAGGTATCTGCAATATCTAAAACCTAGGAGTTAATATCTAAACATACAAACAACTCTTAGGGGTGGGAACAGGCAGGAAGGACATGAAACCTTTTTCAAAAGAAAAACGAGCAATTGACATCTATGGGGAAATTCACAGAAGGGGCAAGCCTGAGTGACCAACAAGGACAGGAGGATGTCCCCCAAATCACCAGTAGTCAGACAAACGCAAATTAAAACAACAATGGCCACAGCAAGAAGAGTGAATTTTATCAAGTACTAACGAGACTGCGGGGGGCAAGAACTCAGAGAAACTCTTGCACAGGCCCCTAATGGACACACGAGGATGTGGATAACATACCAGATACAGTGGAAGGGCAGCGAAGGCACCTCAGGGGCTATCAACAAGGGGTGGATAACATAAATATGGCAGTTGCAAACTGCAGAATATAATGCAGCAGTTAGAAGCAGGAGAAGAGATGGACATATAGCAATGTGGATGGATTTTAAAAAGAGAGTTGAATGAAAAAAGTAACAGAACAAAACTTAAATCAAAAAACCAGTTGCTGTGGAACTGATTCCAGCTCATGGTTACCCTAAGTGTGTCCGAGTAGAATTGCGCTCCAAAGGGTTTTCAATGGCTGTGATCTTTTGGGAGTAGACCACCAGGCCTTTTTTTCTGAGGTGCCTCAACGCGGATCTGAACTGCCAAACTTCTCTCAGTAGCTAAATGCTAACTATTTGTGCCACCGAGGGACTTGAAGAAAACTTACACATAGCTTAATACCAATTATGTAATTTAAAAACATATAATACACTAATCAACACAATGTATTTTACAAGCACTCAGCAGATCTGAGAACAATGATAGCAAACACATTAGAATAGGTGCCTGTGACTAGGCTGGCAGATAAAGAGAAATACGAGTGGGAATCTGAAATAGCAGCAGAGAAAAAATAAACTAAAAGGCTCTGCAGAGACTAATGATGAGAATGTGCTCTGAACAGGATTAATTCCACACTCTGCCCTGGAGGTCCAATTTAAGAATTTTTCAAAAAGGAAAGAAAAGAGAAAATTAATGTGTTACATGAGCTTTAACTACTTCATATCCAATTTAGCAAGGTCCAAGTGAAGTGAATGGGGCTCAGCCACAGACACCTATGCCAGTTTCTCCCACTGTGTGACCATGACGGACTCAGCCTGTTTTTCCTTATCTACAAAATGAAAAAGCAGGATTGGATGACTTATTCCCTAAGGTTGCTTCCAGCTCTTTCTAGATTCTACCAATTCATAGGTCCTCACTAAAAGCTAAAAAACAGACATTCAAATTAAATTGTATAGATCTTTTCCTTTTATTTAGTTACTAACATCAGCAAGGAGTCCCTAGGTAGTACAAACAGTTAACTTTGCTTGGCTTGCTAAATGAAAGGTTGGTGGTTCGAGTCCACTCAGAGGCACCTCAGAAGGTCTGGTGATCTACATCCGGAAAATCAGCCACTGAAAATCCTGTGGAGCTCAGTCTACTCTGATACACTAGGTTGCCATGAGTTGTAGTCTACTCAGCGGCAACTGGTTAACTTCAGCAAAGTCAATCCTCCAGTAAAAGATAAATTGAGACATTTAGGACTAACAGAAAATTCTCAGAACTATTAAAGAACAAAATTGTACTATAAATCCCTATTCGACATTAACTCTATAGTGTCACTTCTTAGGCACTAGAGAAAAAAAGATCAACTAACGGTCACCATGAGTCGAAATCGACTCAACTAACATCAACAACGGTTTCCAAAGATTTGTTTTGTAAGGATGGTAAAATTGATCAATATCTTGAATCACATGGAACTGATTCTCAAAATTTGCCTTCCTTCTAGGAAATTCCTCTGTTAGAAAATGATGCCAACATCCAAGAACACAGACTACCTTTCCAGCTGACACGAGGCCCTGGTTTTCTGTTTGGAAGTTGTTCTTCTAACGGTGTCCTGTCCACCTGAATCCCAGAGTCCTCTCTGCTTAACGGCTGTTGATCATCTTCATCTTCACTTTCTTCAGACCAATTCTGATTAAAACAAAACAAAACACAGCTTACCTTTAGAGAATATAACAATTCAAGCTATTTAGGAAAAAAGATTAAGAAAAATTCAGAAGAAAAGCAAAAACTACACCAAATGAAATCTGTTTTCTAAATGTCTTCCAAGTACCCATTAGTACATTAATGAATTATTTTTGGTGACAAAAATCCCAAGATTTATAGCTCCTTAAAGGATCTTTGTATTCACCCTCTGCAATTTCCTAGTATTAATAATTTGGTGCAAAATTTTAATAAATCTTCCATAATTAACTACTCTAGTTAGTGAAGAGTATTCCTATTTTAGTTAAGTTGCTCTAGGGCAGAAGGACCCACAAGAATCATCTATATCAGAGCATATTTTTCTGTATCTCGCTTGTATTTGTATTTTAAATACAAAACTACTGTCACTTACTGGTGTGTCTACACTTGGAACAAAGTCAATTTCTTCACCTTCCATCAAGTATTTTCCCCAGTCAAAATCATCTTTCTTTTCTAAAATGTAAAAGAAGAACCTCATCAGCTTCATTATAAATCTATGGAAAAAGCCAAGGCTATAAAAAAATGTCTAACATGACTCAAAATAAAATGTACTCAGAAAATGAAAGTTCAAAAATATTGGAACACTCAAATTGCTACTCTAATACGTTTTACATTTAAACTTTTATATCTTCAAAAATTACTTTTGATATATAATTGCAGGTAGTTTAACTTACAAAGTCAAAACTCACATTTTAAATGAAATTCTGCTTCTCTGAAAGACATAATTGTATCCAGAGTAAAAGAAATATTTTAATTTCATTGACTGTTACAACTTTGTATAAAAATCTCAGTGTCTAGTAATTAAGTAATAAAACCAATTTCCCTTTATTTTTTATATGTTAAGCCATCTGGTAACGTACCCACTTCTTTATCTCTTGGTGTTCCCACATAATTGCTGTTTGAAGGAGAATCAGAAAGACACAGAAGAAGTGACAGTATGGAATAATGTGCATCTGTCTTTAAAACAAAAAATAAAGAACATGAATTACTGACGTTTGTAAGTGCTTTCTAGTTTGAGTAAAGAAAAGATACCCCCATGACATTTATGTCTCCAATTTTTTTTTCTGGTTTGAGAAAACATGAATTATACCTAAATAAATTCTAACTTTTCAACTTTTTTAATAGCAACTGTGTACACAAAATGAGGCTCACAAAGACATCAGAGGATTTGAGTTCTATATTTCTAACAATTAAAAGTCATATGAGTGGATGAGACTTTTCTCTCCCTGAGGAAACTGAAATGTCTTTGGAGGATAACATTAACTGACTATTCTCAAGTGGCAGTATGTATTATGAAGTTTAGGAATGTTCACGTATATTGGCTTTAATCTTCACGGAAGCAGACTGACAGGTGTTTTCTCTGTGGTGCTCCTCGGTGGGTTTGAATCACCAAACTTTGTATTAACAGGTGTGCGCAAACTATTTGTGCCACCCAGAGAACAGATAAAATGTAAGAGCCAATTTGTGAGAGGAAGAATTCAAATTCGGTTTGAGTCACATTGAATTTAAGGGACTAGCAATTTAGATGGTGATGTCTTGCCAACTGAATTCATGGATTTAGCGGAGGAGAGAAAATGTGTTGCACGAAAGACTTAGACTTAAAAAGCATGCATACATTGGTGATGTTTGAAACCAGGAGTTATGGAAAGAGAGACAAAGAAAATAATCATATAGATTCAAAGAATACATGTTCTGAGTCACTACATGGGAACCACAGTGAGGTGACCCATCAAGACTTAATAAGGTTGCCCTCAGAAGTCTACACCATATAACCCACTGCCGTCAAGTTGCTTCTGACTCACAGAGACCCTACAAGATACAGCAGAACTGCCCCATAGGGTTTCCAAGGCCATAAATCTTTATGGAAACAAACTGCCACATCTTTCTCCCGTACAGCGGCTGGTGGGTTCAAACCTCTGACCTTTTGGTTAGCAGCTGAGCACTTTAACCACTACATCCCCAGGGATCCCTTTATACCATACAGCAACACAAAACACACCCAAGAAGAGATATTTCAAAATCTTAAAACGATAGGATGATTTCTAAAAATATTCCCTACTTCAAGAACAGTCTTGGCCCATAATAGATAGTCAATAAATATTAGGTGGCTGTGAAAAATGATTAAGAATTTTAATTATAATGAATATTCATTTCCAAGCAAAGAAGATACTAATGAGATGTTGGGCTGATCAGAGGTAGAGGAATGAAAAGGCGTATGTTGAACATGCCCAGCCAGGGCACTTAATCCTTCCGTATGGCCCTGGAGTAGACTCACACACACTGTGGAAATTAACAAGTGGGGATATTTTAGGCAAAAACTGCAGGACTTAATTTTATGATTGAGCATTTCAGGCTATTAAAATCATAGACCTCTCCTGGTTATGTTTCTAGGCACACCTAGAAACCTTCTGATTATATAATGCTAAATGGAAATGAATATTTATTCTCCTTGATCATTATATTTCATACTGTAAATTAATAAACAGCCATTACGTTAAACAAACAAAACAATGTTCACATACAGAAAGATGCAAATCAAAACTACAATGAGATACTATCTCACCCCTGCTAAAATGGCACTGATCATGTAAAATGGTACAACCACTATGGAAAATAATACGGCACTTCCTTACAAAACTAGAAACAAAACCTTATGATCCAGCAATCCCACTTCTAGGTATATACCCTAGAGATGTAATATCTAAAGACATAATCAGACATATGCACACCTATGTTCACTGTAGCATTATTCACAAGAGCAAAAAGATGGAAACAACTTAAGTGCCCATCAATGGATGAACGGATAAACAAAATGTGGTACAAGCCTACAATGGAATACTACGCAGCTATAAAGAATATCATGAGTTCTCAAAATATATTATAACGTGCATGAATCTGGAGGACATGATGCCGAGTGAAATAAGTCAATCAAAGGACAAATACTGTATGATCTCACTATTATAAAATGACAAGAACAGAATATACATAACTGAAACCAACGATCACTGGTGGTTACTAGGGATAGGGGTGTGTGTGTCGGGGGGGAATCCCTTTCTAGACAGTAGACACTTGTTATTTCTGGCAATGGGAAATATAACACAAAATGTGGGTTAAGTGTGCACAGCTTGACCAAGGTAAATGATGTCACTAAGAAGTACGCAAAAAAAAAAAAAAAAGATTGTGTGTGCTATGACATATACAACTGTGGAACAAAGACCAAAAAATAGGAGACAGGAGTGTGGTTACGTGTGTATGTACGTATGCATACAAGTGTCCAGGTATATATATGTGTATATATATGTGGGCATACAAAGATGTATCCGTATGCAGGTATATATATGTACGTGTATGTATCCATATAAACTCATATATAAAATAAAGCATGTAGGGGGCACAAACATGGGTACTTCTTCAACTTAAAACCAAACACCTCGCGGTACTGGCTTACAGAGCCTGAAAGTTTAGGACCGTAGCTTCGTGGGACAGCTCAGCCAATTGGCATAATATAGTGCATACAGTTTATGTTCTACAGTCTAGTTTGGTGAGTAGCATGTGGGGTCTTAAAAGCTTGTGAGCAGCCATCTCAGATACAACTATTGGTCTCTACACATCTGGAATAAAAGAGAAAGAAGGAAACCAAAGACACAAGGGAAAGACTCAAAGAAGAAACTAGTCCACACGACTAATAGTCTACATGAATCACAATCTCATCTACCCTGAGACAAGAAGAACTAGATGGTGCCTGGCTACCACTACTGACTGTTTTGATCAGGAACATAACAGATGAATCCTGATAGAATGGGAGTAAAATGTGGAACAGAACTCAAATTCTTAAGAAGTCCAGACTTACTGGACCAGTTGAGACTGGAGGACTCCCTAAGACTATCGCCCTGAGATACTCTTTAAACCAAAACTATTTCATGAGCTCATCTTTTAGCTAGTAACAGATTGGCTCATAAAATAAGCAATATCATTTATGAGTACAGTGCTCCTTTAAAAAATCATCTACATGAGATCAAATGGTCAACATGTACTCAAAAGCAAGGATGAGAAGGTAAGTGGGCAAGGAAACAGAACAACCAGAACTGTTTGATAAATAATGAGAAAGCTGACACACTGTGAAAAATGTAACCAATGTTACTGAACAAACTATGTAGAAAATGTTAAAAGGGAACCTAATCTGCCATGTAAACTTTCACCAAAAACACAATATTTTAATAAAAATTATTGCAATCCAATAATTTAGAATACACCGTATTTTACTTAATATATACCACATTTTACCAAATGGGCATTGAGATTTTTTCCAATCTTTTACTATCACAAAATGTATGTCATCGTCATCTCATTAATTATGAAGTTTACCTGTACAATAAATTCCAAAAAAGGTGAAATGCTAAGTTGAAGAGTATCTGCATTTGTAATCTTGAGAAACGATGCAAAAATGCTCTCCACAGAGATTAGATGAATCTGTACTCCTACCAGTATAAAATTACCTGTGTCCACACATCTTTTATTAATCAGATCACTGAAAAATTGTATCTCAGTGTTGCTTTAGTTTGCATCTCTCTCGTTATGGAAGGGTGAGCATTTTTTTTTTATAAGTTTAAAAGTTATCTTATTTTCCTTTACTGTCTTTTGGTGCTCTGCTTGATTTTCTATTTGACTGTCAGACTTTCTTTTTATTTATAAGACTGATTTCTAAATTACTAGCTGGGCAGGAAAGAGTTAACGCAGCAGGCCTGAGTTGCTGCAACTTTACACATTCCCCAAATGGGCTTGTTTTCATGACTGGCCCTTTGGTAGACCCAGGGAATTGAGTTCTTGGAATAATCTGAGTGTTTTGTGTGCTTGGGCCTTGGACCATCCTGTACCAGTTTGTGCAAACAGTATGATTTATGGTGAACACCTGCTTTCCTTTAGGGGGTCTGCAGCCTCAGGAATTGCAATCCATCACATAGGCACTATATGTCTATGTGACCAGCCCCCAATAAAAATCCTAGCTTCCCCACCTCAGGAGTGTAGGCCGCCTGACACTTGGTGGGCTTCATCACATCTTGTTGCTGGGGCAATTAGGTGTGTCCTATGTGATTTCACTGGGAAAGGACTCTTGGAAGCTTGTGCCTGGTTTACTCTTGACTTTGCTCCATGTGCCTTTTCCCTTTTCTGATTTTGTTTTGTGTCCTTTCACTGTGATAAATCACAGTCTTGAGTACAATTACATGCCGAATTCTCTAAGTCCTTTTACAGAATCACTGTGCCTGTGGGTGGTCTCAGGGACCCTTGACATGTTAGCTCTTTGCCCTGTGATATGAGCTGAAGATACTCATCCCAATGTATTCTGTCTTTTGACTTTAATTCCTATGATTTCTGCCAACAACATTATATGAATACTGGTGAAAAAAATGGAAAGAATAAAAATTTTCAACAAACTGAAATGTTTCTGTAAATTATGGTCCAATCATAGGATAAAATACTGCCTAGTCATTAAAATTTTTTTTTTTTACCAAGTTTTAGTACATTAAAGTGAAATTATTTATATTAAATAAAAAGCAAGTTTCAAAACTGTATAGCATAATCTTGCTCCTTAGAAGCAAGAATGGCAAGACTTCGTCTCACATACTTTGGACATGTTATCAGGAGGGACCAGTCCCTGGAGAAGAACATCATGCTTGATAAAGTAGAGGGTCAGTGAAAAAGAGGAAGACCCTCAACAAGATGGATTGACACAGTGGCTGTAACAACAGGCTCAAGCATAACAATGATGGTGAGGATGGTGCAGGACCAGGCAGTGTTTCGTTCTGTTGTACATACGGTCACTATGAGTCGGAACCAACTTGACCCTGTTTGACAGCACCTAACAACAACAAGTTACAAGACAGGAAGAAATGTACATACCTATTTTTTGTTTCGCTTACAACATCCTGAAAATACTTTAACCAACTTTGAAAAA